ATCAAGAAAAAGTCAACGATCAATAACAAGAACTAGAAATATTGGTACAAATGAACTACATCTTTCAATCAGTATTTGATAAATAATGAATGATTTTATTTTCTATGTAAATCTTTATTTTTTAATATGTTGATACGATATTTTATATTTGTTTACAACATAAAAGATCATAATGTAATTTGAAATTCATTGGAAACACATGAAATTATATTTAAATTTATTTGATTTTGATCAATTATTATTTGCAATTCAAATTGGATTCATAGAAGTAACTTGTATTAGTCACACATTAAACACAGGTAAATATTGTGAAAAGAGAACAACAAGTTTTGTTTTTTTCTAAAATAATAGATTATTCAACATACCAACGTTGATTTATTGAAATGAATAAACAACACGACATTTTAGTATATAAAATGAATGATGAATTATATTCAAAATCAATGATTAATAATGAAAAATAAACATCAGTTGCTAAACTTGTTAATCAATTATGTTTTTTTTCCAATTAGACATTTGCTCAATGTGTTAATAATTTGATTATCCAACTGTAAGTATGTTTAATGCTTGTTTGAGACCTTTTTCTTTTTTGTAAAGTTTCAGTTCAGTAAAATACATTTATTTTATAATCCAAAATTATTTCCAATGTTGTAACAGTAGGAGGACTCAGATGAATAGGATAAATCTGATGAAGGAGTTTGTAACAGAGTTTAGTTAACGTGGCTTCAATTGGTTATGGTCTCAAAGTTTTAGTCGAAGTTATCTTATAGATATGAAGATTTTACTATTGAATTGTTGAAACAAAACAATATGAAATTTTAATCTTCTTGAAACCAACAAAAGACTAGAACATTATTAGACTCGAAAATATATCAAGTAGAACACTTTACTAAGTAGGTTAGACGTACAAAAGTTTTAGAGTCTTTATATATCACTGATTGAAATTATACAATCACATAATTACCTCAAAAACAAAGTTCGAAGCTAAAGTACGAATTCTGTACATATCTAGTACGAAAGAGATGTTCAGTTTTTCATTATGATATGAGATCAATTGTATTCTCGAATGAGTTTTTCTTTAATCTTTGAAAATTTCTGATTAAATAAAAATTTTGTAATGGATATGAAATTCTTATCTCTATATGACTTGTAATGCATTAAAATCTATCGAACATCGTGGTAGACGATCTACATTTATGTGATACATATGCAAATTTCTTTCCTTGCTACATTAATTAAAAAGAACCATTCATCTTTTAAGACTATTATCATTATCAAATTCATTTAATAATTCTTTTATTAATGAATATTCATTTGTATCAATTGATTCACAAGACAGTTCAAGGTTAGATTAGAATATTAAATCGTCTCTTGTTTTTGATAAAAATATTCAACTAGGTATATTAGCAGAATTACTTTCTACATTTCGATTATGTCTTTAGGTTAATAATGCACATGCTATACATTTACAATCATAGGAATTGAATTATTAGAAGATTCTACTCAATATAGTACAAGTTCTTATATTCTTGCTAAAGTAGACAAATGAAACTTATCATTACAATAAACTGTTTATGTGTATAAAATAGGTTGCTCTAGCTCAAATTGTGCGTAATATTGATTTTCTCGAATACTAACTTGTTTTGAACAACAACAATAACAGATAAAAAAAACCAGTAAATTAAAACTAATCACATATAGAAGATAAAAACAATATCTTGATTTTTTTTATTTTACTTTTATTTTTAGAATCGATCATGACTTGATCATTGTATTGACATTATCTTTCTATTTCTTATTGATAATGATACAAGTGTTCGTCCAGCAGCTACGTTAACTTTTGCTAAGTATATCAATTGTAGAGATGTTAGTTAACTAGATAGTTTTATTTTCGAAGTTAAATAATGCATCAGTCGATTTTATTGTATTAAGTTAGTTACTAGCTACTTTTTGATTTTAAGGTTTGTTGATCACAATTCATTTTTTTTTAGTGTATCAATGGTCAATACATTATTTACCTAAATGGATCAATTCTTCCTGTCAATTGATACATAAAATTCATTATTCATTACAACCAACAAATACTTCTGTAATTATATTCAATGATGGAGTACAATTTGAAACAATATCATGTTTACCAACATTAATATTTGATTGTTTAGCTCAAACATCCACTCGAATATAAATTGTTTATTATTTTTGCCTTTTATATAAGTTGAATGTTTAGAAGATATTTATGCTCTTTCAAATGTTTTAGGATCAACAACAATTCGATCATTTTTTTTTCATAATCAATATGATGAACTTTGTTAACTTATACATCTATTTATATGAAATGATCTTAATAATTTAATTTTTTGAAGATTTATCAAATCTTAACAAATGAAAAAAATGCTTTTAAAGTAGCACAAATGATTCAAGTTATTCTAAAATTGAATTATTTTATTAATGTTCTTGAACTATTGCCAAAAACTTCAAAATCATCATTTTTGTTGGGCAGAAGATCATTTTCTATAATTGGTATTTCAACTTTCGTAGAAGAAAGGAGTTCTAAAGTTTTAGATTTGAAGAGTGTATTGGTTCATGTCTTGTCTGAATGAATTCATTTGTTTTTTTTTGTTTTAGAGAATGATAAAGATTCATCAATAATATCAAACACAACTAAAGATACAAAAGTTAATTTTGAACGATTACTTTCAACAACATTATTTTCTATAAAACCAGTTTTAAGTGTTATTTCTACACAAGATTTATTAAAAAATTTGGAAGAAACACTTAATTATTTTAAATCAACGTTCAATGTACAAAAGAGGTAAAACTTCTTTTAAATAATACATATTAGTTAGAAAATTTCAGTTATTAATCTTCTTCTACTAATCAGTTGAGCTAAAACCTTTAGGATGTCGTATTGGGTCTGAATCAGAGACTGGCTGGCAGGACAAAAATGTTTATCCTATGCTAAAAAAATTAAAGAAGGCTAATTCTAATTTAGTTTATCTGATTAAACAATCGATTAAAATGCGAATGTTTTTAGTCAATTTTAATCTAATTATTTCATCTTCAGTTCATTTTGATTGTCATTTCACAAATAATTTTGAATGAATTAAACCTTGCTTATAAAATGAAGTTGATTAGAAATGTAATCGAGTTCTTTTTCTGCTACACGTCTTAAAAAATCTGAATGTGAACTGACAACTTCCTTAAAAATTTGATGAGCACAGAAAAAAGTACAAGAAAGAAAAGTTGCTTTTCATTCAGAAGACCTAATTTTAATCGATGAAATTAAAAGATGGTCGATTTTTATCAAACACAAGTCAAGAATAGAAGATCATATTTTATGTTAGAAGACCACGACACACTTATGAATTCCATAAAACATAATAGAAGACATATGAGTTCTTTAAAATTTTATGTCGAAAATTCTGCTGACTTTATGAAATTCAGCACATAAAAATTTTGTTTTTCAGCAATAACTTTATTTTTGAATTATAGTAAAGAATAAGTATAAATAAAAATAAATCTTGATATTTATAAAATGAACATAGATAAATTGTTTATTTTTGAAAATTAACCCTCGAGCGGTTTCCTCATTTTTTCACACAAAGGGTGTATGTGGATCCAGTCGAACCCACATAATAATTAGTAGGGAAAACTTGAATTTTTTGTCTGTTTTATGCTAGCTATGGGTGAGTGGAGATTTCTATCATGATTTTCTTCAGGGATTGATGCGCTACCATGAGTTCAAATGTATGCAACTTTCGTATTTCAAGAGATATTTTTTAAGAAGAGATTATTTATCAGTGGATGTGCCGTCAGATTCAGATTCAGTTTCAGAAAGATAATCTGGATCAGAATTCGATTCATCATCCTCAGAAATGTTGGTATCAAATTCATCAATATTATTTGTAGTAATAATCTCTCGAATTCTTTAGATTTGTTTTAGTGATCATTTCTTATCTGAAAAATCAAGAAAGTGTTGAACTTACTATGTTTAGTGAACTTTATAGTTATCAAGTTTAGTTTATTTTTAAGGAAGAGATACGAAGGATAGTCATCTTTGTCAGGAGCGATGACAGACATAGTTCCATCAAAATCTAAAACAGTTTGTCAAATAAAGGTACAAAAATATGTGAATCACTATTAGTAATTACAAATTAACGAATCTTCTGATAAATAACTATTCAAAACGACAGAAGACAGGTCTTATAAGATTAAAACTCATTCTTATAACACAAAGGGTGTCAGGGGTCCATGCGGACCCACCCTTCAGTTTTTTTCCTGTAAGACCTATTCATGAAACTTGATATAGCTTCTATGCACCATTAGAAGACTAACGATTAGAAGAAAGATCGAATGGAAAAGGATAAGTATTAACGTAGCAAAAATCAAAAAGCAGCGTTGTGGGTCCAGTTGGACCCACACACAGCGCTCGAGGATTAAAGCATAAGTAGTTTGCAGTGAATCGCCAAATTTATTCGGTTCGATCTCATAATGGATGGTTAGCCAAGGAAAATACTCTAATGAGACAGCATATAGATTAATATCTTAGATAGATCAATCATGTATTGTAGCTGATGAATGTCAAATTATCAGATATAATAGTGTTTTACCTGATATCGATGGTGGCTGTCGAGAATTGCATTCATACGTGAACAAACGTTTCGTGCTGAGTATAAAATATTGAAATCATCAAGATGATCAAGGATTCGGTAGACGAGTTCTACCGATAATGTAAGAAGAGTTGAAATCATTTTGGCCGACATGGATGAAAATTTTTGAATTATTTATTTGGGATGTTGAAATGTATGTTGAATATATGGCGTGTTTTTGCTGGATCTTTTTTTCGTTTAAATGAGTTTATAATAGTTATGTGTTGTATGTTTATGATGCTTTTGCAATCACGTGTTTGGAGAAAGAAACGCAAAATAAATGATATCTTATGAAAGTGTCATAGTAACGACTCCAGGTGACTTTGTGTTTTGTTAAATTGCATTTGTTGCATGGTAAAATATGAATATTTGTAACCTCGGAATTTCTTTTGCGTTTTTCCGGAGCAAAGTTCGACTGTTATTTGACGGAATAGTTGATTGTATAAGATGTTTTTCATTTACTTATCATTACAACTGCGATTTATTATCTGATGATCAGTTAAGTCGAAATAATAGAATCACATCTAAAGCAAGTAATTGTAAAAGCAGTACACTTAAGATTTTATCATACTCTTAGCTCAAGCCTGAAACGATTGCACTAACTTTATATCGGTGCTATGAGTGAAGGAGCATTCTATGGAAGCTTCGTGGAATTTCGAGTTGTGGAATATTGTGCAACACATGTTTCCATAAAAGCACTTGATATTAAAGAAGGATGACTTTTTTCGAATCTTAAACGGATAAACACGAAAGTTGTTCTTTCGAATCGATGAAGTTTATATAACTTTCTCACGAGTGTTTTCATTTTATTGTTTTTTTTTGTTCACAGTATAAAACAAGGCGTCTAATCCTTACTAGCGGTGTTTTTCGACGAATTTTTTTGACTAATGCTAACATGAGGAACAAAGATTTTTATGTCATCAAATAACCCATATGTCAGAATATATGTTGCTCTAGTTATATTTTCAATTTTTTATCTAATGTACACCTGGATACCTATAGCGCAAGAGTACTCGTTCAGAAGTTAAATATAAAATAAAATATGAAAAATTGAGTTAAACTCTCAATACACGTACTTATGCCTCTTTGTTTTATTTTAATGTTAGATGACATAGATTCAAAAATCAACCAAAAAAAAATAATACAAAACGATGACAATAAAGAATTGATCTTATATACTTATATTAAATATTGAACTATTTTGTGATAGCCCTGGTCCCTACCGAGCTAAGAATTGCTCATGTCTGTCCAGCTCAGAGTAGCACTATTTAAAGTATATTTCTTTCACAAAAAGAAAACGGATTTCTACACAATTACTGCAATCATTTATTCGAACATTGTAAAAAAATTTCTTATCATACTGATGACGAGTTGAATAAGGTCAAAGAATTTTAATACTTGAAAAAACAACATGTGAGATAAGTCAGATTACTTATTGAATTAATGCCTATTGAACGGTTGCAAAGAATCAAATCAGTTACTATTTTTAATTACACTATTCTACTTCAGTAACATTCATGCTACTTAATGCAGTTGATAGTGCACTTGACCTTGTGTATAGATGAGGAATATCATTGAAGCGAATAAATGATTTACTTTTATTTATTGATTAAATGAAACTTTTGAAACATTCACATAATAAAATCAGTTGCGAAGTGCAAAACCCATGAAAAACATAATAGTAAGAAACAGTTATAATATGAATATATTTACATTCGCAAATTATTTTAATTTAGTTTCTATCATTAACTCCTTTATTTTGTAGTAATTTAGTGATAATTGATGATAAAAATGCATTCATGTTTTTTTTTAACTACTAATATACGTAGTACGGTTTTGTAGAGAATTTGACGAGGAATCTTTAAGAAAAAAGTCTCGGTTATGTTCAAATACTGTAGGAAAAAATATAAAATACGGAAAAGCTCATTCTTTATGGTCCGCCTGTTATTTTGTTTCTCTTCTTATATTTTTAGATTATCTCTTTCTCGGTTAAACTATCGTATATTAGCATACATTTTCTAAATAGCATTCACGTATACGGATCATTCTACTAGCCAATCATGGTAAGAAAAGAGGATACTAACATAAAATCTCACCATTGTCGCATATGGACAAAAATAATACTATCAGCTTCTATTCCATTGATGATTGCAATCTTTACAGTGGTCACTTACGTACAACAGAAAGAAATAAGTGAGCGACATCGAGAGGAAGATGTTTGACTAGCATATCTCACATGTCAGAAAGATATTGATTTAGCTTTATCACAACGAGCAGAAGATCAACGATAGGCAGATGATCTTCATTATCAAACAGTCTTTGCAAATTATGTTGAGGATATTTCAAATTCACTTTATAAACAACCACATAATCAATCAATCTTTAGTAATGAAGAAAGTAAAATGGTCTATATTCGTCGAAAGACATTGATCACATTGAGAGAAATTGATAGTGAACGTAAAAGTCAACTATTTATTTTCCTCTATGAAAATAATCTTTTGCCTAATAGATTTAGCTCATATTCTGAAATATCTTTAGCTGGTGCTGATCTACATGGTATTACAATTGAAAGTCCAATAACTGATGTCTGCACGTTCTTTGGCTTAAAGCTAGAATCTGTAAATCTGATAAATGCATCATTTATAAACTGTCAATTTTGTTGGATCAATTATGTCTAATGCTAATTTTACTAGATCACAGTTCTGTACACTGGAAGATGAGAATGTCCAATCAACTTTTGATCGTGTCATTTTAAATCATGCTGATTTTCGACAAACAAGATTATGTCATGTTCAATTTGATAATACAGATTTATCTTATGCAAATTTTAATGGATCAACTTTAGGCAAGGTGAATTTTACTTCGAAAACTATTCTCATTCGTTCATCATGGTTTGCCGCTAAATTATCAGATGTTAGCTTTGTCAATACGAATTTTACTGATATAATATATTCAATTTTCGAGAGCACTCTTCTATATTACAACGTTCTCCTTTCTAATGGCACTTGCCATATCGATAGTTCGAATTTAATAAAAAATGGAGATGCTGAAACTAATGTAAGTAGGTTGCACGTGATGAATGTGTGTAAGAATTCTCAGTTATATGAACATTTTTTTTAAACGATCTTCTTCGAGACAAGAACATGAGTCAGTTAATGGAAGCATTTTTCTGTGAATTCTTATTTTTTAGTGTTGGATGTCTAATAAATCAATCGCTGGTTGCCAATATTCGTCATTGATGTTGTATCGTCATAATCAAACAATCATTTCAGATTTTTTGTCATGGAATTTGGGCAACTGTACTTTTATCTCACAATCTTCTCTTGAAGTGTCTTCCACTTCGCAAAAAATCGATCTAGATGATTATTCTCTGTTTATTGATAGTAGTCAAGCACAATTGAGTATATCTGCATTATTTGGTGTTGCTGGAAAATATAAAGAAGGAACAGTTAAGATTTCGAGTCCAACTATTCATGCTTATTTCGATAGCCCATGTAAGAAATAATCTTGTTTTTTTTGTAAAGAACATCATGTATTAGAAAGTACGCATTATATTTTTCCTTAGACATAAATTCATCTAATGGCCAGCTACAATAGTTTTATGCAGAAGAACAGTTCGAGATACTTAAAGAAACACGTTATTTATATATTGATTTAGAGATTAATGGAAATGATGATCTATGTTTAGTGGATAGTATTGAAATTCGTGTTCAAAGACTCTTAAATAACTAACTATTACATTAAAACTTTAAAAGAACTGTAAAAACATATTATAAAAGTTTTTTCACTTTCGATAATTAAAAATAAAACAAAGTTTTCAGTGACATGAAAGAAGCTATCAGTTGAAATATATCAGGTTTTTTTTTTCAAACAGACAGAAATAACATATTGTCCTATCAAAGTTTTCAAAAACAAAACATACGTATATAAACATTTTTGATATATGTCTCTTGGGATGTTTCAATGGTAATTATATTCATCATTGTTTTGAAGAATAAGATCTGTTATCTGATGTATAAAAATATATCGGGTCAGGTGTGGA